GTTGAGGAAACTAAAGTCACTTATGAGCTGGCATGACACATTTCTAAATTCCTACAACTATATGAAAAACCACATCCTTGCTAATGTTCCTAATGGTAGGAGCTTCAGGCTGACTTACAACCCAGACTGCAGCTCTGACTGGACAGGGGACTGGCCTTGTAAGCTCCTCTCTCATAAGCTATTGTAGATCTTAAGTCAGTCTCAGGCAGCTCATCAGGCTGCACACAGACCGTCTGTGTTCTGTAGTTCACCTTTGGAAGCAAAGAGCTAAATTTCACCTCATTTTAATGTTCCCTACTCCAAATGTTAACATGGAATGTATGTTACATGCATGATGACCCATTGTGCATGGGGTCAACTCCTCTCATAAATATGTATAGGTTTCTCCCTAACTCTGTTGAATTATATGAAACCAGTCCTGTGAGACATATAGCCCAACTTATCCCTCCCCTCTTAGAAGAGAGAGAGCACCTTCAATCCATGCTGGAGACTTTCGCTTCCTAGGTTGTAACTAGATAATTGCCTTTCTACGTTTTTTTTTTTTTTTTTCTTTGAGACAGACTCTCACTCTGTCTCCTGGGTAGAATGCCGTAGTGTCACAGCTCACAGCAACCTCAAACTCGTGGGCTCAAGTGATCCTCTTGCCTCAGCCTCCAAAGTAGCTGGGACTACAGGCATCTGCCACAACACCTGACTAGTTTTTGTATCTTTAGTAGAGACAGGGGCTTGTGTTTGCTCAGGCTGGTCTCAAACTCCTAACTCAAGGAATCCACCTGCCTTGCCCTCCCAGAATGCTAGGATTACAGGTGTGAGCCACCATGCCTGGTCTGCCTTTCTAGTGTTTAGCTGTCCTGGTGTCCTTTTGGATGACAGTCACATCATTAATGTAGACTAGTGCTATGATTGGATCTGACTTAAAAGAAGCAAGAGAAAGGAAAGAAAGACCTTTAAAATCACAGAGAACCCTTTTTCTCATTCCTCTGGTGAGAAAGAACTATATTCTCTCAGATTATGTAAAAATCTACCCAAGAGTACAGCCTCAAACTGGGGCTTGTCTGGGACCAGCCAAGGGGAATTTAAAAAAAAAAAGATTAAACCCCTATTTCCTTCCCAGTATGCATCTCACACGGTTCCCTTTATTGGTTCCATGGCCACAAACAGAGGGAAGACGGTTTCTCTTATTTTCTAATTACACCTGCTGCATGGTCTTGGGTTTCAGGCTTTTGTGGAGTTTAAGCTGGGAGATATGGCAGGAAAAAATAGGGACTGTTTCTACCCTGTTGGTCGTACTCCTAGTTCTATTATTTACTTTTAGTGTAATCAGTTGCCTCATGTATACTGTCTAGTAGTTTTAGCTTTACTCAGTGAGAGAGTTATGTGTACTATGGAATGGGCTTATCCATCTTAGCTGGAATTAGTACCTCAAAAATTATATTTTCATTTTTGTCCTGCACTATGGACAAATAAGACAACCTTCCCCCTGCTATCTGTCCCTTTGGCCAAAAATACCTTCTTAGCTGCTTCTATTATTATGTCTGAAGTCCATATAGTTACATACGACTTTTAATAAATATAACTGATACATTTTAATCAGCTTAATAGACAGATAATTACTAGCCTTGATCATAACTGAGAGATGATAAGAACAAACACAGGAACTGAAATTCTTTGTTGGTAATGAGAAAAAGGAATCTTAGAGACGGGTTTCTGGAGACCATGTTTGGTAGGGCATAAAAATATATGGTCCTGAGCAAATGAAGAGCAAATAAATTTTGATCACCTAGGGAATATAAATCAATAGGTAGGAAGTTGCATCAGTAAGTACACTTTTGGTTATGATCACAGAAATCTAACAACATTTGGCTTAAGCAAAACAGGGATGATATTTTAAAATTCAGAGATAAGATGGCTTCAGAAATGGCTGGATTCAGTTACTCAGATTATGTAACCAGGAATCTGTCTTCTTCCTTTTCGTGGATTTTATAGCTATCTGTTGGTTTAATGCTTGGGCAGATTTATTCTGATGATACGGCAGGGTTACTAGTAATTCAAGATTTATAATCTTTTCTCAGTGAACTCCAACAAATAGCATATCTTTCTTAAAATTTTAATTTCATGTTGATTGGCCTGGATTGCAGCTGTCTTCTTATTGACCAGACTTATGTCAAGCCAGAAAGAGCACCCTGCACTTCCAAATAACATGGACTGCTAGGGGGAAATGAGCAAATGCTTCAGGAAATTTCAGGTCCTGTGAGCATAAGAAGAGGGCATTGATTCTGGAAACGGAAAACAAGAGCAATGTTGGAAGCAGGATGGAAAGCTATGAAAGAAACCTTGCCTACTTCACAGTGTGGCACAGAAGCCTATTTTCTGTAAGAAGAAATATTTAAAAGCTGATTTTCTAGAACTCTAACAGTAACAATTCTTTTGAATCCTGGGGTGGAAGTGAATACGCTGAGTTTTTGTAGTCACTGATTTTAGCGCTGACATGTATAGTAAATGCCGTATTATTCTCCAGTAATATTGAATGGCATATAGAAAAGACAGACCATGCTTTTCTTTCTTTCTTTTTTCCTTAATTGCTGCCTGCTATATTTTGTTACTTATAAAAGCATGGAAGGAACAAATTTCAAGTTAAAAAAGGTTGCTTTTCAAGATAAAGATGTATATCAGATACACTTTTTATGTCAAAATCTTTATAGCTAAGGGGGAAAAAAAATCCCTAGAATCGAGAGCAGACCATTGGCTAAAGAAAAGTATTTGGAAGAGGAAGAAAATGGGCATTTATAAAGTTATGGATACATTGATCTCTTTGTCCATAGCTCTCCCCATAAATTGGTTTCCTCAGAATTTGGAGTTGAGGTCCACAGCTAGAATCCCTGAGTGATATCTAAATGCACCATCACAGAAGCACCTCGAGTAAATCACCGCTATTTAGCTGTCAACAATGACATGGAGGGAAGAAGCTTGGAGACAAAATTGCTTCACAGAAAACTGAGTCTCTTCCCATCAGAGTGGCGTTTGTTTGTAGGATGGTGTGAACAAGGTCTTGGCCAAGGAGTCATGTGTGATTGCTGCTACACTCAACTACATCACAAAATAATTTCCTGGGAGCGGAGAAAGAGACCAGAGTTTGAAGCAAGTTTCCTGCTATAAATGCCGCAGTGACTGTTTAGCACTTGAGAAAATCTGAGAACCTAAAATTAGCCATCAACATCTTTGCCATAAGAAAAATAAAAAAGAAACATAACAATGACACACATGGCTTAACATTTTATTTGAAGTATGCCCCGTAGAGTAGTTGGAGTAGCTGTCTTTAATTGCTTGAAAGCATCTCAGAATGAGACTTTACTCACCCTTTGATGTTCTCTTGCCATACCTTCTCCTACCTCTTCCATTTCCCTTTTGCCAACCTCTTCTTTCACAGACTTTCTTCCCCCATCTCTGGCTTATGCAAAGTCAAAGGCCCCAGTATGATTTGAAAGCTCCAGATATCAACTTTAGAACTCAGTGACTGAGTTTTTGTTTTTCCATTTTTTTGGAGCATTGCACAAGTGTACCATAATTCTTACAGTGGAATTCATTCAAAACACTTTTATGATGTACATATGCTACTTTACCCCACAGATATAAAACTAATGAATCATGAAAGGTGCATTTCTATTTTATTTTATTTTATTACTTTATTTCTTTTGAGACAGAGTCTCACTATGTTGCCTTCAGTAGAGTGCCATTGTGTCACAGCTCACAGCAACCTCAAACTCTTGGGCTTAAGTGATTCTTTTCCCTTAGCCTCCCAAGTAGCTGGGACTACAGGCACCAGGCACACCACCTGGCTATTTTTTGTTGCAGTGGTCATTGTTGTTTAGCTGGCCTGGGCTGGGTTCAAACCTGCCAGCTTTGGTGTATGAGGCCGGTGCTGTAACTACTTGTGCTACGGACACTGAGCCTACATTTCTATTTTAATTAAAAAATTACATCCTACATTGATGCCTATTTTACAAAGATAGGGCTATGATCTCTAATAATGGTATTCTGTAGTTGATATTCTGACAATGTGGCTGAACAACACATATATAGGAAAGGGCTTTTGTAATTTTCTGCCTATTTCTTCAAAACTCAAAGTAGCCTATGTGTTTAGAACAGTTTTTAAATGCACGTACTTTTTTTGTTTCAACCACAGGCCCAAATCCTTAGAAAATAGGTAATTATAATGGCTGTGATACAAATATTTTTTATGATAATGAATTTAACTCATTGATAGCATCACGATGTTTTTGGCAGTAATGTTTTTGATTTTGTTTTGAATCATAGCCAAATGCCTGGGCAGGATTTATTTGATCTGAAACCTGAAGGTTTAGGAATTATTTTTTGTTTTGTTTCTAGATATCTCTATTTCTTTTGTCTCTGGATTCTTTATTTGAGATTATAGTCAGGTGTTATAGACATCATAAGTGTGTGAGTGAAGATATCTCCTTACCTTCTCAAAACCCCCTTCATTTTATATGTCTTTCCCCAACTTAGTGAATTATAGGTCTGGACAGGCCTGTCAGTTCTCTCACAGAGGTGCCCTTTTGATGTCCACTGTCATTTTTGATAATTGACCTGGTTGTACTCCGTGTATAAAAGTGTATGTCCATTTTCAAGGGGATCTAAGATTTGTGATAGAAAATAAATCACTTAGCAAATAATCTATACACATACTTCTATATCTTGTACTGCAAGCCTTAAATAGAGCTGCATGATTTAAAAATTCAATTCAATGAACAGTTATGAGCATCCATTATGAGCCATCTACTGTCAGAGATGCTGGTACTGTGCAAATGAGTAGTACCTGGTCCTTAGGCATGGGGGGCTGATGATGGGGAAGCAGGTGTCATAACTCACTGACATTCTTGAGCTTTAGAGTTTGTCAGTTAATTTTACTCTAATCCTAAGGGCTTGCTGTGATCAGAGTCACTTCCCTGGGTCTTGTGAGTGATGCAGTGTGACTGGGACTATGTCAGGAAAATGATCTTACAAGAAAGAGCGTTTGCAAAGTCTGTCTGGAGAATGACCAGGTCCTTCCTCTCAGGGGCACCACCACAAGACGATTTGTAGGCCATACAAAGGACGTGCTAAGTGTGGCCTTCTCCTCTGACAACCAGCAGATTGTCTCTGGATCCCGAGATAAAACCATTAAGTTGTGGAACACTTTGGGATGAGAGCCACTCAGAGTGGGTGTCTTGTGTCCGCTTCTCACCCAACAGCAGCAACCCTATCATCGTCTCTTGTGGCTGGGACAATCTGGTTAAGGTGTGGAATCTGGCTAATTGCAAGCTGAAGACCAATCACGTTGGCCACACTGGCTATCTGAACACAGTGACTGTTTCGCCAGATGGGTCCCTCTGTGCTTCTGGAGGCAAGGATGGCTCTGGGACTTCAATGAAGGCAAGCACCTTTATACGCTAGATGGTGGGGATATCATCAATGTCCTGTGCTTCAGCCCCGACCGCTACTGGCTGTGTGCTGCTACGGGCCCCAGTATCAAGATTTGGGACTTAGAGGGCAAGATCATTGTAGATGAGCTGAAGCAAGAAGTAATCAGTACCAGCAGCAAGGCAGAGCCACCTCAGTGCACCTCTCTGGCATGGTCTGATGATGGTCAGACTCTGTTTGCTGGCTACACAGACAACCTGGTGCGAGTGTGGCAGGTGACCATTGGTACTCGCTAGAAATTATGGCACAAATAAAAAACTAGTTGGTCTGAAAAAAAAATTTTTTTTTACTCTAAAATACAGTTTAGCCAGAAGAGTGATGCCTCTGTCTCTCAAAGTCCTTTTATATGTATTAAGTTACCTAGAACTGGATCAATGATATTATGGTAAGTTACTTGATTGATGGAGAAAAATCTATCCTCTGTGATAATTGTAGTAATGGCAGCAATGATAGGAGTAGAAAGAGCAATGAGGATGACATGTCAAATCCTTTTTGAGCACTTGCTATATACGAGGTATGTTTCTGGATGCATTTTATGGTTCCTTTACTTAATCCTTATAGATTAGTTTAAGTCCTTCGAGAAACAAATGCCGAGACAAGATTAAACGTGCAAGCATTTGCCTAATGGAGAAAATGGGTAGGAACTGGGTGAGGCTGGAGCTTGGGAAGTGTCTGCCACGTCACGGTGCAAGTTTCACCTGAAGCGAAGCGGCAGAGGAGGAAGGTTGGGTGGAAGCATCCTACAGTGCCATCAGTCTGAGGAAGGTAAGGCAAGATGTTTGGGAAAACTTCGAGTCAAAATTGGCCATTAAGGACGACTGAGGTCTTCCAAAACAGGCCTGTCTTTAATACTTGTGCTGCTTTCTGTCACTGGAGAAGGAAAGCCCACATGAGGCAAAGTACTGCTGGAAATGCTGATGTGGATTTCAAATCAGAGCAGCCAGGGCCTGTGGCCAATCGATCAGCTGTGTTCCCTGTGGTTGGAAGTCTATAGATGCATTATCACAGCTACCACATCTCCTACTGAGGTGATGTGAAAACTAAGGCTACAGAGAAATGAAGTAATCCGACCAAGGTTAACAGCTGCTAAGTGACAGAGCTGGGATTCCAATCCCTGCAGTCTGGATTCAGAGTCTCTGCTTTTAATCACAAAATAAACTAAGGTTATATCATGATTCAAGGATAGTCTTTGATACTATTAAAGCAAAAATCTTTACAGTGATTTGCCAACTATAAAGCACTAAATGAATATCTACGGCATTACTTCTTCAACTTTACCGTGTATAAAATATGCCAGGAACTTATGCAGATGAATAGTCCCTCATCCTACAGCTTCTGGCTCCCTGGGTTTGGGCTGGAGCTTCAGGATTTACATTTTGAAGAGCCATGCCTGGTATCCTTTGCAAATGATTCTAGAATCAGACCTGCATAAAACTGCTCTAGAGAAAGAATCTGGGCTTGGGGAGGGACAAGAGTGGTTTAAATTCCAGGTGTGCCAGTTTCTAGTTATAAGACCTTGGACAGGTTGCCTAATTTTGTGACACTCAGTTTACAAATTTGCAAGTGGAGATGATAATAAAGCAATAATTAGCTTGCCAGGTTGTTATTGAGTTTCTGTTGGACCAGATGTGAGAAAATTGCTTGAGACCCTGCAGAGCATTGGGTGAATGCAGGTTATGACAGCCCCTGGTCGCAGCAACCTCCTCCCGCCCACAATAGCATTGGGTGAATGCAGGTTATGACAGCCCCTGCTCACAGCAACCTCCCCATAGCACCTTCTCTGATGTGTCACCACAGGGTTGGTAGACCCTGGTGATTTACAGGCTTGTCACGTACTGCAGATTTGGGTACATTTGGTAGAATTATAGACATTTGGTCTGTAATTCAGAGAGTTAATTTCTATTGCTGAAGTAAGGCACATTACTGGTGATAGGGGAGACTCAGAAATGGAATCCTTAAAAAGGCTTTTTTTGGAGGTACTTACTTCTTTCTTAGTGATGTTACCCCTACTTTAAGAAAATTAACTCTGATACTCAATCAGGGTTCTGGGGAAGATGAAGAGCGTTTTCATTTATTGTTTGTTCCTTCCTCCAGCTTCCTCTGGGAACCTGAATGTGCCCAGAATCTACAGCCTACTGCATTTCACCCTGGGGTAGTTAGTGTTCCAGTATCCCGTGAGAGCGAGTCTCGGGGATCAGCTCAAATACTTGTCTTCTAAGGGTACAAGAGGACTGAGCTTTAAAATAGTGATGTGCTTGTCATTAATATGTTTTCCTGTCTGTAGAGATAGCTTGTCACTTGTGTCAGATTGCCCTTTCTTTGTCTGCCTAAAAAACAGAGGGCTTCTGGTAGAGAGGGCACTGCCACACACTTTCTCTCCTGAACCTGTGTCATGCTTTCTTTCTTTCTGTTCTTAAGCCAAGGATCTCAGCAAAGGAAAAAGCTGCTTAGCTTCTCTGAGCTTCAGTTTCTTCATCTGTGACTTCAAGGTAACAACACACACCCTATCTATTTGCCTTCTTTCTGTTTTTTAAAGCAAGTAAAGGAGAACTATGTCAATGAAACTTTTATTCTTGGAAATGCATTTAATCCCATAAAATTAAAGAGCTAGAAAAATAAATAAAATGAAAAGCAATCCAAGTGGAAACTTAAAAAAAATTAAATCTATTTTCTGGTGAGGCAAAATATGCTTTATATGTGTTACATACACCATCTTTACCATCTATAAGTGTAGAGATCTGTGGTAATAAACATATTTATATTCTTTAACAGCCCCCTTTGTCCCTCCTTCTCCTCTTCCATTCCTGGTCACTGGTAACCATCAATCCACTCTGTCGCTTCACCAGATCTACTTTCTTAGCCCCCATATATGAGCAAGAACTTGAGATATTTGTCTGTGCGTGGCTAACTTAACACAATGGCCTTTAATGTCATTGACATTGCTTCAAATGACAAGATTTCCTTCTTTTATGTAGCTGAATACTATGTATTCCAGTGTGTGTGGTGTGTGTTTGTGTACACACCACGTTTTCCTTAATCCCTGGTTGATCCTTAGTTTTGCTATTGTGAATAGTACAATAACCTGAGAGTGCAGGTCTTTGATGTATTCATTTCCTTTCTTTTGCACATATACAGAGTAGTGGGATTGCTGGATCATATAGTACTTCTATTTTTAGTTTTGGGCTTTTTTGAGATAGGGTCTTATTCTTGCTCTCTTGCCTAGAGTGCAGTACAGTGCCATGATCATAACTCACTGCAGGCTTGAATTTCTGGGCCCAAGCAGTCCTCTGATCTCAGTCCTCCAAGTGACTGAGACTACCGGTGTGTACTACCACATTTGGCTTCTTTTTGGTTTTCTGAGAAACCTTCATACTGGTCTTCATAGTGACTGTACTAATTTACATTTTTACCAATAGTATACAAGGATTTCCCTGTCTCTATATTCTTGCAAGCAGCTGTTATTGTTGTCTTTTTGAGATGAGCCACTTTATTTGTTTGTTTATTTATTTAGAAACAGAATCTCACTCTGTTCCATGGAGTGAGTGCCCCTAGTGTTGTAGCTCACCACAGCCTCAAGCTCTTGGGATCAAGCCATCCTCTTGCCTCAGCCTCCCAAGTAGCTGGGACTACAGGTGCCCACCACAATGCCTGGCTAGTTTTTCTATTTGTAGTAGACATGGGGTCTTGCTCTTGTTCAGTTTGGTCTTGAACTCCTGAGCTCAAGCAATCCACCTGGTCTTAGACTCCCAGAATGCTAGATTACAGGTGTGAGCCCCTGCGCCCAGCCTTGATATTAGCTGCTTTAACAGGGTGGGAAGATGTCACATTGTGGTTTCAGTTTATACTACTCTAATGATTAGTGATATTGAGCTTTTTTCATATACTTGTTAGTAATCTGTATGTTTTCTTTTGGGAAATGTCTGTTCAGATTCTTTCCCATTTTAAAATCAGGTTATTTGTATTTTTTGCTATTGAGCTGTTACAGCTTCTTATACATTTGGTTATTAATCCACTGTCAGATGGATAGTTTGCAAATAGTATTTCTCATTCTGTTTTTTTGGGTTGTCTTTTCACTTTGCTGATTTTTCCTTTGCTGTACAGAAGATGTTTAGCTTGACATAATCTCACTTGTATATTTATTCTTTGGTTACCTGTGCTTTGAGGTCTAACACAAAAATTCTTTGCCCAGATCAATGTCCTGGAGTGTTTCCCCAATATTTTCTTCTAGTGCTTTCATAGTTTCAGGTCTTCAGTTTAAGTCTTTAATCCATTTTTATTTGATTTCTGTATATAGTAAGAGTTAGGGGTCTTGTTTCACTCTTTTACATTTAGTTATGCAGTTTCCCCAGGACCATTCATTAAAAAGGACTATTTCCCCATTGTGTGTTCTTAGCGCCTTTGTTGAAAATGAGTTGGTTGTAAACACGTGGATTTATGTCTGGGTTCTGTATTCTGTTCCATTGGTCTATGTGTATGTTTTTATGCTAGTATTATTCAGGTTTTGTCACCATATCTTGCTAGTAAATTTTGAAATCTGGTATTGTGATGCCTCCGATTTTGTTCTTTTTGCTCAGGGTTGCTTTCGCTATTTTGTGGTTCCTTAAAAATTTTAACATTTATTTTCTATTTCTATGAGGAATGTCAATGGTATTTGATAAGAGATTGCACTGAGTCTGTAAATTGTTTTGTTTAGTATTGTTCTTTTAACAATATTAATTTTTCTAACCTATAAACATGGAATATCTTTCAATTTTTTCGTGTCCATTTCTATTTCTTTTACCAGAGTTCTATAGTTTTCCTTTTATAGATTTTTTAATTCTTTGGTTAGATTGATTCTTAGGTATGTTGGGCTTTTTGTAGGTGCGATCAATGGATTTGCTTTCTTCATCTCTTTTTCAGATTGTTCACTATTGACGTATGTAAACACTATTGATTTTGTATGTTGATTTCACATCCTGAAACTTTACTGAATTTGTCAGTTCTGATATTTTTTAGATGGAATCTTTAAATTTTTCTCCATGTAAGAACATGCGGTCTGCAAACAAGACGATTTTCACTTCTTTCTTTCCCATCTTGGATGCCCTTGCTGTCCTTGTCTTGCCTAATTGCTCTGAACAGGACTTTCAGCATTGTTGATTCATAGCAGGGAAATTAGCATCCTTATATGGTCTTTGGAGGGGAAAGGCCTTCAATTTTTCCCTTTTCAGTTTGATTGTTATGGGTTTGTCATGTGTACCCTTTATTATTTAGAATTATGC